ACAGCTATGGTTTTCATGCATTAGAATCACCAGGGATAACAGGGATATACATTCATTTTATTTTGAAAAAGACTTTCACTTCTAGGTAGGCAGCCTATCACTAGCCTACTGTCCTATACATGATGGAGAACCACTCAGAATAAGGGTGTAGGGACAACAAGTAACTACAGGAGACGACATAGAGCCCTTAGGTAGCAACATGAAACTCACTGGCCATGAGTTAAAAAAAATCTGGGTTTCATGCAATTTGTATCAAATACAAACAACTTTTTCCTTAAATTTTGTGTCTAACTAACGAATCATCTTTTTAAGGTACTGAGGTGTTATTCCCCACATTATGAAGGTTTTGTGGAATCATTAAAAAAAAAGGGAGGAGGAAGGGACCTCAGAGATTGGTCCCCTCCCTGGAGAGCTGAGGAGGCCAAGACCCAGAGGGGTAAATGGCTTGTTGGAGGTCCCAGAATCCATATGCGGTCTCAGTCCAGTGTTCTCTCCATCAAGCAATTCTGGCTCCCTAAATATTTTTCTCAATGTTGTCATCATCCTACTGATAAAACTTGGTATTCCTAGGTTTAATTTGAATGTCCAATTTTGCTTACCTACAGCTGTCCCCAGAAACAAACTCTAGGTATTAAGAAAGCTATTCCCTGTCCACACAGTTTTAATGATTTTAGATTCCTTCAGCAAGTATAAGACCCTAGCTTGGTTTTAAATGTCAGGACTTTTCTGTATTTCATTTGCATGTTTAAAGGTTATTCTAATATAAATGGGGGTGAGGGGTAGGCCGAGCAAACTGGCTATCTCTAGCATTCATGTGGTGTCTTTAATGTACTAGCCCTTCTTTTAGGCCTCTTAATTTGCCTCTCAGCCATATATTTAATTTTAAACAAAAATTTATTTCCCCATTACCTTTGTGCCAACACATTTTGGAAGGAAAAATGAAGGAAGTATTTGCCCCACTTAAACCATTCTCCTGACCCCCACTACCTACCCTTGTGATCTAAATGCAGTTCTGTGTCAGCAGACTTTTCTCTAGGTGGAATATTCTGTGTCTGCCAGAAAGAGCCAAGGAGAAAGGAGAGAAATCATACTAGAGCTTGTTCTTATCTTGGACCAGCTGCCACTCATCTCTTTTCTACTTTCTCTTCTTTTTTTTTTTTTTTCCTCAAGATTTTGGACCAGAGAAGCAGGCCATCTTCCTGATGCATCTGCAAATCTATAGAGAAATGGAATATGATTTTCGTTTCTTCTAAACTAAAGGGGGGGCATTTTTATAAGATTTAGATTATCAAATATTTTAATACCTTCCATCTTTGTCTCTTTTTACAATAGTGTCTTTCCTTCAAAGCATCAAGGCATGGTAGGAACTATAGATGGCTATAATTCTGGTTGGACCACAGCCCTTTGGTAAATGGGAGTGACAGTCTCAGACATTATCTAAAGTTGTTGACCGTCTTCACACTCTAGGCCCTATTTGTCATGAAACCCCTTGCTTGAAATTTTACTGTAAAACCATCAGGGAGAAACACATGGAATTCTAATTAAATAAAAAAATCCCCCATATCTGCATAATTTTAAAAAAAAAATCAAGGCCCTGCTTAAAGCTTATCATCTGAAGGAAGAAGAAATTTACTTAAAAATATACAGTTCATTAAAATAACATGATCTCATATGTACTTCCTGGACCAGGCTCATGACACTAAGCTGCAGAGGAAAGCATGTAGAAGGAACATGACTTTGGGGAGACTGACCTTGAGAGATGGAGACTTGAAAGAAAGGAAATAGTTCTGGTTTTTTTGACCTCCTTTCTTTTTTCCTATCTCACCTAACCATGAATTAACCTAAATTCCTTTGTATCTGAATTTCAGGCTTTCCCCCTTCTTAGCACAGCCCTCAGCAGAACTAGAGAGTAGATACTATTTATCTTCTGTTTTCTTATGACAAGCAAACATTATCTTCACATTCTCTGTATCCACTAACAGTTTCTCCTAAGAAGCTGACAAAGGTGTGCCATGTGAGCCTGTCTGCCGTTCTTACAGATAAAGCTATGCCTGGGAAAGGGAAGGGGGTACCACTCTTACCTCTCCGCCCAAGCCCTGGGGTCCACTTGGGAGGACATGGGATGGGGTTAAGTGCATGGAGCACAGATTCGAAATCTGAGAGGCAACATCCAGAGAAAAACTGAAACCTAACCTGGATCAACTAGACAAACCAGTCATGGTTCCAAAGAGGGCGATGGGTGGAGGAGGATCCAGGTAAGAGGCAACAGGGTGACTGGAGTCTGGGGAAGCCAGATGAGGATTACAGGGTCCAAAGCATAAAGGGCAAGGTGGGAGCTGTGACAGAGCAGAACTTGGATGCCTGGAGTACGGGACCTGTGGCTGGTGAGAAGTTCTTAAAGTGTCTACTTGGCTGCTACCACTTCTCTCAGATGTGCTGACAATTAAGCTATCTACGCTTGGCTCCAATTTCCTCCTTCCATATTGCACTCTGTGACACTAGGCTGTTATCCTACTCACTACGTTGCTCCTTTGCTAGCTGTCTCCCTGTTAAGCTCAGCCTGTTGGTGGTACTAGAGGGACACTACCAGACAGTAACTCTAGGAAATCCCTTCTTTGAGTCTCAGGTGCCAGACATAAAGTGGGGAGATAACAGCCCCACAGCTGGCTTTTAGGATTAAACAAGCCCACTCAGCACAATTCTAGAGCGAGTATCAGTGCCTGCAAAGGAAGAAGGCGGTGGGTTGCCCACCTGAATGAGCACTGGCCCTTCAGTCAGTCAGTGCAGAACCAGGCAGGACCCAGTCAGGGAAACAGAAACCACACTGGTTATTTTAATCTCATTAATACAAGGGATTAGTGGGAAAGACACTGGAGGACTGAAAAAGTGAAGTAGTAACATAGAAATGACAGGAAGCAGCCACCCTTCTAGGCTGGAAGAACAAAGGGAAGAGGCTGGAGTTATTAGAACATAGAAGGTTGGAAGGGGAAACTGGGGCCCAGTTTTCTGTGGAAAGAACATTAGATACCTCAAAGGAAGGTGGGGGAAATGAAATAAACTGGCACTGTTAGGGTAAGGCTGTTGCTGGGGCAAGACTGTAATTATGCTTTCCTTTTCATTTCTACTGCCAGGAAGCTCAGAGTCCAAAGGGGACCCATTTTCGGCAGAAGAGTAAAATTTTATGTCATCATGGCTGCGACGAGTTTTCTTACTTTATCGACAGTAATTGTGTACTTCTTTGTGAATCTCCTCAAAATCTTTTTGAAAACCACAGTATATTTCTACATCCATCTATACTATCTTCATCTACCTGTTCATCTATACATTCATCTATAACTTCTCTCCCTCCATTGTTCATTTCTACTGCCTCATCTATACCTCTATTGATACTTTTGTCCACATCTGTAAGATTGAGACAGGGACATCCAAGTCTGTCCTTGTAGTTTTAGTTGTATGTTTTGAACTCAAATTTGAATATGAAAGCATCATTAAGAAGGTCTTTTTTTTTTAATTAAATTTTTAAATGTTGCTTTATTTCTGAAAGAGGGAGACAGCGTGAGTAGGGGAGGGTCAGAGAGAGAGGGAGATACAGAATCCGAAACAGGCTCCAGGCTCTGAGCTAACTGTCAGCACAGAGCCCAATGTGGGGCTCGAACCCACAATCCGTGAGATCTAGACCTGAGCTGAAGTTGGACGCTTAACCGACTGAGCCACCCAGGGGCCCCAAGAAGGTCTTATTATAAAGACAGCCCACATCTGCTCCTCAGCCTCTACTGTTGTTCTATGAGAAAGCCTTGCAGTGACAGATGTCCTAATAGGCCTGTGATATAGAACCCAAAACTTAAAAAGTTCTAACCCATCAAGAAATCTCATTCATCATTTCATTTTTTGGAAAGGATATAAAAAATGAAATGTCAGAGCTATAATGTCAGGACCATTTAAAATGTCAAGTGCTTGTTGTTGCACAGCCTGGCTGTCTGCTGTTCTGATCAAACCCCCAACTGGCATAATAATTACAGATGATGCATTGCATTTTCATGCACAACTAGACCCAGATTTATAACAAATCAGTGGAAACATTCTCATTGCCCAGCCTGAAATTTTCTCCTTTTGCCACATAGCTTAAGATTTTTCCCTTGGAGCAGAACATTATTACTGACTCAAGACAGGATTCAGGGTAAGGAATAAGAAAAAAGGGCAGAAAAAAAGTATCTCCATAGACCAGAACTCAGTCGTTTATAATACACAGGTCTAACAGTAGCCAAGAGGCAGCAAACACATTTGCTGAAAGTCTGTTTAAGAAGACTGTTTAGGGGTGCCTGGGTGGCTCAGTCGGTTGAGCATCCGACTTCGGTTCAGGTCATGATCTCATGGTTCGTAGGTTCGAGCCCCGTGTCGGGCTCTGTGCTGAGCACTAGCTCAGAGTCTGGAGCCTGCTTCAGATTCTGTATCTTCTTCTCTCTCTCTAACCTTCCACTGTTCATGCCGTCTCTCTCTCTCTCAGAAATAAATAAAAACATTAAAAAATTTAAAAAAAGAAGAAGAATGTTTAACTATGGAGACACTGACCAGATAATCCAGTCTATTTCAAGATGCAGATTAATTTAAGTGTGGAAGGAAGTGTGCATGTGAGCTCAATTTTGAACTGATATGGAGACATTCAGTTTAATTATCATGTTCTAAACTGCAGAGAGAGAACTAATGTATAAACAGAAAAGCAACAGTTCTTCCATCTACAATCTTTATGGACATCTCCATGGGACTCAAGTGATGTATTCACAAGCTGATAGCAATTATAATAAAACTCTGAAATCAATAGCATGTACATGGGAGAATTTAATTTCTTCTCCACTGTAAGTTTTGTGTCCACTGCAAGTCAGGAAAGGGATTCTCACAGCCACTTCATTTCCACTTTCCCTAGATCAGTCTTGTCACATGGTTTCAAGGAAGCCTCCCTTCTGTGTCCGGCCACTTCTGATTATAGATTATTTTTAGTACATTGGAAAAATCAAAGATCTTGGAAACAGTCTCCAGAAGATCCTGATCTTTTTCTGTGCCATTCTTCTAAAGTCAACTCTCCTAGAAAATAAGAAATGAACAATTAACAAGAGGCTTTGTCCATACCAATCACTGGTATATACAATATATTTCCTGGTATTTTTATTGACATTCTTCTGATATCCTTTCACCTCACCCAGACTCTAAAGTCTTTGAATATCCTTATACAGAACAGCACTCAATGGTAGGATTGCCAATGAAAATAAAGATGCCCAATACAATCTATTTTTATTTTAAGTTGAGAATCATCAGCAATGCACCTGTGTTCACATATGCACTGATGTCTCTACACAGTATTGATTATTTGACCTTTAATCCTGAAGATATGACCAAGTGATAAGAGCAGGGATAATGTGAATTTCTAAGATCAGGAAGAAATGACTATGTGCAAGGCTGTTTTCAATATTCTTATCTCTGAGGAAATAATTGCAGGGACTGTCCACAGCTGTGAGAAAGGGTAAACATTTATTCATTCTGCATACAATTATTGGTCAGCAGTTTTCTTTACTGATTTTTGGTTCCTAATTTCATCACTCTGGCTTAAGCCAAAGGCTCATGCTGGCCAGTCCAGTGCTATCAACCCGTCACTGTATAACTGTGTGCCCTGGCTGCCCTGTTTTGCCTCTACCCTCATCCTATAAGACTTTTTTTTCTTTTTTCTTTCTTTTTTTTTATGTTTTATTTATTTCTAGGAGAGAGAGAGAGAGACAGTGTGAGCAGGGGAGGGTCAGAGAGAGAGGGAGTCACAGACTGAAACAGGCTCCAGGCTCTGAGCTGGCAGCCAGCCCAGAGCCCGACGCGGGGCTTGAACCCACGAACCGCGAGATCATGACCTAAGCTAAAGTCGGACGCATAACCGACTAAGCCACCCAGGCGCCCCATACAACTTTTTTTCTTAAATAGTTTATTGTCAAGTTGGTTTCCATATAACACCCAGTGCTCATCCCCACAAGTGCCCTCCTCCATGCCCATCACCACCCTTCCCCTCTCCCCCACCCCCATCAGCCCTCAGTTTGTTCTCAGCATTCAAGAGTCTCTCATGGTTTGCCTCCCTCCCTCTCTCCAACTATTTTTTCCCTTCTTCTCCCCATGGTCCTCCATTAAGTTCCTCCTAATCCACCTATACGTGCAAACATATGGTATCTGTCCTTCTCTGCCTGACTTATTTCCCTCAGCATAACACCCTCAAGGTCCATCCATGTTGCTACACATGGCCAGATTTCATTCTTTCTCATCACCATGTAGTATTCCATTGTATAGATAAACCACATCTTCTTGATCCATTCGTCAATTGATGGACACTTAGGCTCTTTCCATCTTTTGGCTATTGTTGAGAGTGCTGCTATGAACAATGGGGTACATGTGCCCTGTGCACCAGCACTCCTGTATCCCTTGGGTAAATTCTTAGCAGTGCTCTCACTGGGTTATAGGGGAGTTCTATTATTAATTTTTTCAGGAACCTCCACACTGTTTTCCAGAAGAGCTGCACCAGTTTACATTCCCACCAACAGTGTAGGAGGGTGCCCCTTTCTCCATATCCTCGCCAGAACCTATAGTCTCCCGATTTGTTCATTTTAGCCACTCTGACCAGCGGGAGGTGGTATCTCAGTTTGGTGTTGATTTGTATTTCCCTGATGAGGAGGGATGCTGAGCATCGTTTCATGTGTCTGTTGGCCATCTGGATGTACAAGACAACTTTTAAACGTTTTGGGGGAGATGGGAGAGGTTCTCTGTTGACTCATTTGGACTATAATTATAAGTTTAATGGTACAAGCTGGATAGCTAATTTGTGCAAGCATAACCCTCATGCCCATGTTAATCACTATCTTGAAAATATAGAGATCCTGTCCTTCCTCCATATTCTCATCAAGTAGAATGTGCCGTCAGAGGTGTTGTTTAGTGTTCGAGGGCAGGGGCTAGCCAACCTGGAGTGTCTCCCTTATAACAAAGAATGTCTGGGTGGCAGACCTTAATTTCCTTGGAAGTGCTGTCCATGAAAGGAGAAGAAGGACCTCTGATAGTCCCTAGGTTGAGTTGCTAGGATATAAAACTTGCTGCACAGAGGTGCCAGCAGCAGATGCTCTGTCCAGTTGGCCTCTCCTGGATTCCCTGTATATCAGCTCCTCCAATAAAGCAACACAGATTACTGGTATGGAAAAGAGAGAGAAGATGGAATTTCTTTAAAAAATTTTTTTATTTGAGATATAAGTGACATATAATATTTTATCTTTAGGTCTTTCCTTTGACCTCAGCAGACCACCACCCACCCTGGGCTTCAAGTCTGCTGGGATGTGGCCACACACGAGTGCATTAAACTTGAGGGCTAGAGATGTAGTTCCTGATCTCAAAGATATTGTACCAAATCAGGTTTGTGGCTAGGTAGAAGGCCAGCCAAAAACAAATCAAGAACATTCGGTAACTAGAGAATGGGTAGCTGGGGCAGAAAGGTAGCAGGAACTGAAGTTAGATATTACACTGTACCTGTACTTTGTAGTGGACACTGTCAAATATCCAAAATTCCACACTAGTATTTCAAATATAAATAAACATGAATCGTCACATTCTCATAAGATACCTTTTGGCCTCAACGGCAAAATTCTAAAACACATCTTTTAGAGGGAAATTGAATCTCTTTGATTTGATGTTCCTTATGTTTACCTTATGCCAAAGAAGTTTGTGCAAAACCCACAGAGCAGGAATGGAGTTTCAATGTCTCACAGGGAAAGTATAACCATGGAATAAGCCAAAGTTAAGTAGAGAAAACTGAAAATGAGGAGTCGTAAGTGTGTGGCTGGGGAGGGTCACATGGGTGGAGAGTGGTGAGTCATGGGAACCATAAATAACAACAAAACAACCCTGTTTTTTGCAAAGGCAAATCACAGCTGCTAAATTACCAGTGCAAAATTTTTTAAAAATTTCTAGGGGATTAGCATGACTAAGAGAAGTGAGAGGGGAGATGGGGTAGTGAATTGTTTTTGTTTTTGCTCTTTTTAATGTTTATTTATTTTCAGAGGGGAGGAGGGGCAGAGAGAGAGGAAAGAGAGAATCCCAAGCAAGCTCCATGCTGTCAGCACAGAGCCCAAAGCAGGCCTTGATCCCAGGAACCAGGAGATCATGACCTGAGCCAAAATCAAGAATCAGACATTTAACCCACTGAGCTATCCAGGCGCCCCAAGTGAAGTGGATTTTGATTGCTCAGTTATAATACTTGTCTATTTTCACCACTGCTGGTGGAAGGAGCCATGTCTGAGGGTGTAAAGGGTATAGGCATCCTGTCAGGTGAAAAGCAATGCAGGTTACTTACTGGTGTGGAAAAGAGAGAAAAGATGGAGTTTCTTAAAGAAATATTTTTAATTGAGGTATAATTGATATATAACATTGTGTCAGTTTAAAGTGTACAACATAATGATTTGATTCATATATACTGTGAAGTGCTTACCTTAAGTTTAAACATCCATCACCTCACAGTTACACTTTATACTTTCTTTCTTGTGATGAGAACTTTTAAGTTCTACTCTTTTAGCAACTTAGAAGATGGATCTCTTCCATGTTGTTTTTTTCACTTTTCTCAAAACACGTGTGACCTCTGCATATGCATTTTTTTCACGTTGTCTCGCCACTTACCATAAAAAAATTTCTTTTGGAAATTAAGCCAACTTCTACCTATAGCAACTTATGTTTACTATTTCTATCTAAAGTACTTTGAAGTTTCCCTCACTCTTTTCCCTTCAGTAATTAGCATTCATTCATGCCTTCCATCAAATATTTATTAAGCCCCAGCTACAACTGCCATTTCCTCCACTACACGGCTGGCAACTATGGTGCTGGAATGTGGGAGGTGATCAGAAAACATGCTGACAAGCTGCTTTTCTTTATCTGATGCTCTTAAACATTGCTTCCTAATCCTCCTTAATTTGTCTGAGGATTTATGCCCAAATAAATTAAAAGGATGGTTTCTGAATCTCTCTAGAAAGGATTGCCTATAAGAATCCAGAAGCTTCCCCTAAAAAAAGTCTATCAACAAAAAGTCAAAGCCAATAAGAGGTGACTGGGCTGGAGATCACAGGACTCAGAAGGAACCAAAAAGCACTTTTTGAGTTTTTATTATTTTGTTTCATATTTAAAGATACATTTCAATATTTATAGGGCGTAATTCAGAATGTACACAATTTTATTTTTGCATCTTGAAGGATACATATAATTTATACCTATATTATGTTATTTAGTAGTTTGTTGAGTTGATGGACACATTTTCTCCTCCTGGGGACCCTTCAGGTCAATGCTCTTCCAACACTCACTACCAGTTTCAGCAGCTTCATTGATGATGAATATTTTCCTTAGTCTTGTTTTTGCAGAGTGGTTATCTTATTGATATTCCTGGGTCACCAGGATTGCATTAACATATTATCTTTCATAACAAAACAAGAAATGACCTCCTATCCCCACCCCCAAAGAAAGCCAAATTTACTGCGCATGCCCACGTTAGCAGTTTTGCTCTAAAGAAGTCAGCTGATCTTGAAAGAAACCAGCCCATGCAAAGAACTTTTTTTTTTTTCAATCCTTTCTAATTCTTTTAAATTAGAACTTGACAAAAACTTGTGGTGGGCCTGGGAAATTAGTCAGGATGGGTATGGGAGTCACAGGAGATGAGCATGACCAGATTTTCAAGGGCAGATGCCAGCGAAGATGTAAAACGACAGTTTTATATTCATTAGCAAGGTGGCACTAGAGGCATTTAGCAGCATTTTACAGCAGAGTTTTTTAAGTGCAGCAGTTTCTTCTTTTCTATGAGAAAACCCGATTCCCTCTTATCTCCTGGTAGTTCCATTGCCAGTTTGACTCGCTGTGACTCTCAGGGCTTTCCACAATGATCTACTGGAAAACATTGGTACTTCTGGTTAATCGCGCAATAAGATGTCTTCCTTTATGTTATGTTCCTGTTTTCTGTTACCTCAAATATCAACACAATAATCGCCTCTTCCATTCCCTGTTTGGCCTTGTTCTGTCTCTTTTCACTTTCCTGGGTTTTTTATTATGAGCCACTTAATTCTCCCCTGCCCCTGTGCTATTTGGCATTTTGTTATACTTGCCTGGTACGCGTTCTGTACTTAATGTCGTGAACAGCATCTGTAAATCTTCCTATATCATGTCAAGAATGACTCCTAAGCAGCGCACGGTAGAATGCAAATTGGTATTCTTCCTGCAGGAAAGGGTGCAGAATTCCATGCTTAATCATTTATCCTGACTAGTCTTCTGTCCTGCCTCTTCATTCTTCAATAATATTGAATGTTGAGCTTCAATCTTCTGTCTTTGTGATTCTCTTCAAGTTTTCCTTCCTGATGCTTTTATTTGTAAAATAAAACTAAAAATAGCTTGTTGAATTATTACAATAATACATGCTCATGGTATAAACTTAATACAAAAAGGTGCAATGAAACAAAAGAATCCCCCTGTAACCTCTTACTGCCTCTCCCCTCATTTCACTTTCTATTGGTAATAAACTCCTCTTAATCAATTGCATTTATATTTTATGAAGTGGCAATGCATATGCACATATATGTTCATTTCCAAAATAGTCTAGATAACTCTCTTCCTATAGGAAGATAGCAATGCATGTTGTGCTTCTTTCTTCTTTATTTCTTCCTGTGCTTTCCATATGACATCTTCTGACAAAACACTCATTCATTTCACAACTATTCATAGAGCACCTACTATGTGCCAGGAAGTATGTGGACAAAAGACATACTAAAGTATGTAAAACAGAAATAGTTCTTGCCTTCATGGAGTTTGTAGATTCTCATCTTTTTATTTTCTTAGCATTTATCTTATGCACCTCTTTTGATTAATCTTCTGCCTCTGATTTGCTAACTACCATGATGATAACAATGTGTAGAATACTTCATAGTTGTTGTGTTTCTGTCCCAATAGATTCAATGTCGGCTACTCTTCTGTAACCAATTTGCAGTCAAACTGAGATTTTCATATATGTTCTTGAAGGATTTTTTTATTGTGCCTCAGTGTGTTGTGATCTTTGGTTTCAACATTCACTGATTTATCAGATACCAATAGTGTACTTGATTTTCTTTTTGAAAAATTAAAAAAAATTGTTGGCAGATAGTCAACATTATTCTGGTATACTTGATTGATCCTCTTTATTTCTACCAACACTGATGGATAACAATGATAATAAAAGTTTTTAAAAATCTTATTCGAGGCATGTATACTTAGGTTTGTACAAACATGAACAGACATTCTCCCCTGTGGTGCTTACTCTCCTTTTATGTGTGAATAAAACACTTTATTTTCCTCTGTCAAATACTGGCAAAATCCTTTTACACTTCTGCAAATATCAACCTTCAATGTCTTCATTAGTCTCTCTTCCTTGCCTTCTGGTGCTCTGGGCTGTCTTTCTCCAACAGTACAATTTTAGCATCCTTTTCTTGACATAGGAAATGACCCAGCTGTCTCTTGATGAGATGATACAACTGCCAATAATTTGCATATGAAAGCAATTCTATCAGTTTTAGTCCTGAACATGCATTTGTCAAGAAACAGTGCTTCCCTGTTCTTCCAAAATGTAGCCTGTTTACTTGATATCTTCATTGTAAAAGGCAATGATGTATGTTTTTTTCCCTTAAATGCGAGTTTTTATCAGAAGAAATGATTCATGTGATTAGTTCTATAAGCTATGCATTTTCTCTCTTTTGACAAATCTGCATAGTAAAAAAGCCCATTTCCCTGACTGCAAATAACCTCAGTTACTGCCCAAGAAAACACCTCCACACTTCCAGATTTGCATCCTTCACCTCCTTCTTTCTTTTTCTAGGCTCTTCTCATCACATCCCCCATTCTACTGATAGCTTATACTTTGTTTTTTAGGAAACTGCTTACATAATAAACAAAGAATCCTGAATCATTTTATTGTTTTCTAGAACACATTATTTATTCCCTCAAATAGAAACCAAGACCCTGCTTAAGGATACCATGACCCTCTTGCTTCTCCGGGAAAGGTCACCTTTCCTATGTCCCGGCTTCCATCACTAGAAGCAGGATCCAGAGATATTTTCAACATTCATGACCTGCCCTTTTGAAATTCATTGTATTACTAAGTATTAAACTTTCACAATATCCTATCTACTTCCAGGACACTTGTCCTTGGGTCAACAGTTTCAGCCCTAGGTTGAAATGGTTTATCATCTCTATGCCAATCCCTGCTCTGCCCCAGCACCTCGAAGATTAAACATTAAAACAGAACAAACCTATAGCATGTCTCCTGTTTGGTGATCAGGATTTTCGGTTGCATATTCCATACAAGGTTTTCACTGGCTTCTTAAGATCTTCCACTCTCCATTTGTCTGGTTCTTTTCTACCTTCATTTAGTTTCCGTGTCAACTCTGGGTAGTCTGAATCTGTTTTTTTTTTTTTTGCAAGCTTTCACATGAACAGACTTATTTTATCCTTCACCTAGACAGACCTAAATATGAGTGACTACTACCAAATGGCTCTGATCTTGGCAAACTAGAAAATGAGCATACTGACTTGAAATTGAGGTGAGGCAGACTAGGACTGGGTCCTTATGCGTGATATTGCTACTGCTGATACAACTCCAAAGTATTTTTCTGAGAATTACACTCTTGTCCAGTTGTTGGGCTCATTCACGATGGCAACGTCATTTAAACTCCCCTCCAGCCTTCTCAGGATTGCATCCTGCCAGATGGAGATGTCACATTAGAGTAGTGCAAACTACCACACACAATATGGGCGTCTACTACCCTCTAGTGTCCATTACAAGAAGTGACCCAAGGCGGGCATGTTGGTTCTGTGGAAAAAGTTAACTTTGGGTCGATGACAACCATGGCTGGAGTCCCAGTGCCTCATATCTATCCTTCTCTTCCCCTCCTTAAATCACTTACTAACATCATATTTTCCACAATGTCAAACTTTCTGTTTTCAAGGAACATTCCTAGCTACACTGCCTCAATCTCAAATCAATATGCTCCCCTACCAGTTTGCTGAGATCAGCTCTTCCCAGAAATGTGTCCTCAGCGGAAAGGAAACAATCTGATAGAAGAACATCACGCAATTGAAGAAATGATTTTCATAGTATGGGAAACTTGAGTTTATTTACAGGTTGATGAAACATCTCCAATAGAAAGGAATAATTATGGGGCACCTGCGTGGCTCAGTCAGTTAAGCATCTGACTTTGGCTTCGGTCATGATCTCATGGATCGTGGGTTTGAGCCCCGAATCGGGCTCTGTGCTGGCAGCCAGCTCAGAGCCTGGAGCCTGCTTCGGATTCTGTGTCTCCCTCTCTCTCTGACCCTCCCCTGCTCACGCTGTCTCTCTCTCTCTCTCAGAAATAAATAAAAACATTAAAAAAAGAAGAAGAAAGGAATAATTACTACAACATATCCCAGAGTGAACGGCAGAGTCCTTCATATCATATTCTCCCACTTTTCTTTCCTTGTGTCTCCCTTTACTCGTGTTCATATACCCCAAAGTGTCAAGCACCATTAACCGAACATACGTACAGTCAATAGACATTTAATCAATTGAATTGTGCTGCCTGAAGAACACTGGACTGGCCAAATTATGAAGCCCAACTAAGGTTTTCTTGAAAGGCTCATGCTTTTGCCTAAATGGCACTCTAACCCATAACCACCACCTCCTACTTTGTAAAAAAAAAAAAAAAGAAAAAAGAAAAAAGTGCGCTTGAGGAGTGTAATTGCCTTACCATCATTGTCTATATCAATCTTATGAAATACCAGGTTGGTAAATTCTTCAGGACTCAGTTTGCTGGCCCTTGAGGGCTTGTACAACCTGCAAAGAGAAATTAAGTCAGAAAGTTCAGCTTGGCTGGAAGCAAATACGTTTTGTGACGTTTCTACCCCAGTGTGACAGGATTTGGGGATATAGTCATGTCATTTTTGTTTTCCAACCTGTTCTAGTTGTTAAAAATAAATAAAAAGATTCTATGTCAGTTCTGGGTTAATGAGGCTTAGAAAATTAATTAACTGAATACAATCTGAAGTTTGATAATATACAGCACAAAGGGATCCATTCAACATATTAGTTAACAAAGGATGCAAAAAGCTTACTAGAGAAAAAAATTGTAGTGGCCACTGTCACAAGAATTCTGGACCCAGAAAACGGACAATGTTCTCAACTTCAGACCAATTATCATTAATCTTACGGAGGAACGTAAAAAGCTATTCTGTAAGCATCTAAGGCTTCTGACACTGTCACCTCTGGTCTTTTTTGCCCTTTTTTAGAATGATCGACTGGGAAGACAGATCTGTATGCCTTGGAAGGACACTGAATTTCTCTCACACCCTGCCAGCACCTTTTCATCATAAAGGCTGTCAGGGAACCCAGGGAAAATGACATTTCCAGCTTCCCTAGAGGGAAAATTTAACCACTCTCTCCCTCTCCCCCACTGCCAGATGATTAAATTAAATGACCAATATGTGATGTAGAAATTGGTAATCAAATGAAAGAGAGACAGAGATGGAACGAGTTAGATATCTGGGAATTTGAACATAGCTATGTTGATTGAACACGAAGGGATCTTTAGAAGAACCACTGGCAACGCAGTTTAATTGAGGGCCTGGTCTGAAACAGGACTACCTCTTCCGTGGCTTTGCAAGCATTACCAGTGCTGAATCCAGGACTGCTCACGGAAAACAGTGGTAGAGCACCACTCCTGGCCTTAGCTAGTGAGCTCTCACAGTTAGATAGAGGGTAATGCTTAGAATAATGGTTGCATACATATACCATTCTATTAGATGTACATTTTTAGGGTTTCTCAGTCTGTTGGCAAAGGCCTCAAAAGCCCACAAACTGAGCTCGTCACCCAGTATTTCCACAGCCTGAAGCGATACGAGACCGCATGTGAAAGTCATAATAAAAGATTATGAAATATCTAGGATTTGTCTGACACCCATCTCCGGGCAATATAAGCGAGACTGAAGGATTGATTGGAAGCGTGAGGAGGCCTGAAGGGATATTTTCGGAGGGAGTCTTCAGTGTGCCCCGTGTTTCCCTCTTTATAGGAGAAACATGGTGGGGGGATGGGCAGGGAGGCATGGCTTGTTTCCTTCTTTCTTTCGGCACTTTCTCCTCCATTTTGCTCAGCCTGTTTCTGTTCACTCTCTGAGTGGGAGCGGGAGGAGGTAGGAGAGAAGGGTGAGCAGGACAGCTCTGACTGGGCAGGTACCGTCACCGTTATCTAGTGTCATAGCTCTCTGGATGACAGATGATTAAAATCCACTGTCTCTGAGACCATGCCTCCTCTTCGTTACTGACACTCTCTTGCACATCCCTAGACTTGGATCATGCATCTCAATTCCAGCTGACCCCTCGAGGCTCCTTCTACAAGCTCTAGGTGTGCCCAGTTGCTGTTTCAGACTAGACAAATCTTTCTTGTTCAGGATTGTGCTGTGCACCGCAGAATGTTTAACAGGAGCCCTGGTCTCTGAACAATAGATAGCAATAGCAGCACACACGCACTCCTCCACTCCCCAGCTGACAACCAAAATGTCTCCAGACATTCCCAAATGTCCCCTGGTGGAGGGATGCAACCCTCCTGGTTGAGAATCACTCTCTACTTCTACCTCCAGCTCCCTCCTCTTCTGAGAGCCCCTCACTTCTCCAAGTGGTTCAGCTGGACAGGATCCAAGGCAACTCTGTCAGCTTCTTCCCCACATCTGATCCATGAAAAAAACCTTCATCCCAACAAATTCTGAGCATGAGATCCTTCCTAAACTTTACCCCTTTACTCTACTGCCATGGTCTGTTTCATTAGATTTCTCGCACTCAAACACTGGACCACTGTGTTCCCCAAACTTCAACGGTTTCCTTAAATCCCCATGCTATTGACTTGAGGGCTTTCCCTAAGAAATCCTCTCTAATAGCCCTTCTCAAACATCCTCCTGACCACTTTATGCCTTTGAAGTGAAATTAAAATGTAACTACTTGCTTTGTAAATTTTGCCTATAATCTAGTACTTCCTTTGGATCTTTTGATGGCTGGGCTGTATTTTATTTTAACATCTGTTATCATGTTTTGAGAGAACTTACATTAAACAGTATGTATTATTCCTTACCCGATTTTTTTTCACTTGCCACCATATAGACCACTCACTTTTTGTAAGTACATATTCCATAACATCAATTTATTTAAATTTTTTTCTCTTTTAGGTCATTCATTTTTAGTATTTTACATGACTCTGTGACGTAAATCATAGAACCTTTATCTTGATAATGTTAATGATTGTTTTCCTGACCAAAAATGTTGACTCTAAAATGGAGATATACGTTTAGCGTCTTGATGCAGATTACCAAATGTCCAGGAATATTATCTCCATTATGCTCCCTCCCCAGTATGTAAGGGCACTCTAAGAAGAGTGCCAGAATTATACCTTATTGTTGTTAATCTTTATTAATTTAACTGGAGACAAATAGTGTCAATTATTAAATAAATTTCTGCTCTGTGCTTTAATGTTTCTCTATTTTCTTTTTGTTCTCTTTCTACACACAAGAAAACCTCAACTAGAAGCTTAATTTCTCTTTACTCACTAACATACGTTGTACCTTTTAACTAATAAAAACTGTGTGAAAATTTCCATAAAGTTTGGACAAAATCATTTATATCCTATTGTTCCTCCTAATTCTTTTGAGACTCTGATGACACTTTCCCTCCCCTCAAAAGTCGATAACATACGAGAAAAGAGTTGACCTTAATTTCATGGTCTTCAAGGATTTCCAAAGGTCATAGACCGATAGATCCCAGGATAAGAACCCTTGCTTTGAATACTGTTTTGGAGGCATCCCCCAATATTTGTATGATATGTTACATATTCAGTGTTTTTAAAATAAATTTGAGTATGTTTATTTAAAAGGGTGTTTTAAAATTTACATGGGGTTGGGCATTCTCTAGGGAATATTTTAGATTTCTAATTTAGTGTTGCAACATGTAATATATATGCAGAATTTCTGAATTTTAATGCTTATAAAGTTCACTTACAAAGTGTATCATAGTACTTTTTGTGAATTATCTGTGTAAAATTCACATGAAAGCAATGTTAGTATTATCGCACTCTTGAAGTCTTCCATATGTTCATTAACTCTACATTTGCTAAACAGTTTTAAGTATTAATAGCTTTGTCCATTTATTGAGGTATTTAATTATAATTGGAGTTCTACCCACTTATTTTCCTTTGCATTTTTGCTAATATTTATATTGTATATTATGTCTGTAACTCAACTCCTTCATCTATAAATGAAAGAATTTGGACCAGATCATTTCTAAGACCTCTGATTCCAATTCTGGCCCTGTGTTACAAATTCCATATATTGCATTCATAATGTTTATTTTACTTCACATTCTCATTTAGGTACAGTGTCCCACTTAATCATCTTTTACTCTAGAATCCATTTCCTCTCATACCATGATAATAACTTTTTCCAGTTCTTTGGTGGAAGTGGGTGAGATTTATAAAAAAAAAAAAAAAAAAAAAACAACTCACTAAACTTTAGAGCTAAAAAGGGCCTGAGATCTTTGAGGTGCTTTTTAGAAATATTTTAGTCCAGCTCCCAGAAAGATTAGTCCTTAGGTACCTTTGTTCTTAGTCCATGGCTCTTGCTATATAACTGTCTAGTATTTCAGCTGCTCCTCGCCAAACTTTCTGCACAGAGGCAGATAAAAAGAGAAGTTGTTTTAGAACATCATGTTTATTCATTTTTCATCTCAATACTCTGCTAAAATTTATGAATTTGAACACTGAGAAGAAAATGCTGGTTTGCAGGTGCACACTCAGTAACCAATAGCATAATGAAACTTACATGGCTTCGCAGTTCCAAATGTATATCCCAAAATTCACCAATCACATAGATAGTTGTCACCAGCTCCACAGGATGGAAAATTACATTACCTCTACAATGTCCTACAATTACTTCACTGCTTCACTTACCATGGGCTATTCAGTAGTTTCTGTGTGTCAAGAGAACCATTTCCATCAGCATCATAGAGCTTAAAATACCATTTTAATTTCTGTTCCATTTTTCCTCATATAACTAGATTTACAGCAGTGATAAACTCTAAAAAGTCGATAAATCCATCCTATAGAAAGCAAGGCCAGAAAGAGACATAAATATTTAAGAAAAACAATTGTTTTTTATTTGAGAAGTCATGGTTCACAAGCTGGACCGTTAGCACAAATTAATACAACCCAGAAGATTTCAGCATAGAACTTTCCCCTGGCATTTCATTAACAAAAACAAAAATATGGGTAATGTGTATAGAAACAACTTTAAATATATAGATAAGTGTCTTTTTAGAGAAAATATCTACTTCTTATGGCAAAAAAAAAAAAAAAAAAAGGTCCTGATCTGACCATGATGGAAGGCTGTGTCTTCACCACTGGACACCCTACAGTGGCTGTCTTCTCCTGAGTATTTGAGGTTTTGTCCTCCACTCAGAGAGAAGACCAGGTACCAGTTTCTAATATAAAGGAAAAACCAACTAGATAAATTCTGTACTCCTTTTTAGAGAGCCCAGTTGATCTTTTTGGAATGCTAAATTCTAGGATTCCTTTTAAGTATGTCATTTTCAGTATGAATCAAAATTTATGAGTCTATTTTCTGTAAAGATTTTGCCATATTAGTCAATCTTAGAAAAGACTGTTTAAGGCTTTCAAGCTTAGGCAGTTCCCCTCAGCCTGTTTTAAATGGGTAAAACACTCTCAGTTGACACAGAAATAGTCGTTGTCATTCTTAAGAATCATAGGCTTCAAACCTGTTCAGCCAAATGCTCAACTATCATAAGAAAAGTGACCAGCTGTAGGGAGGTGTGTAACCCACTCACTGCTATTTTCCCAAGGGAATTCAGATGCCAAAAGTAGTATATTCAGCCCAAGGAAACATGCTGTCAGCTGTATTCTCCTTGGAATTTTTGATGGTAGAGTCCTATTTACAAAACAGGATATGACAAAAAGTATGCCTTTCCCTTAGAAAAAAAGAACTTGAGACTTATCAGCCTACAAAATGGTATGTGTTTGCTTTGAGGCTCAAGCTTTTGTGTCTAGTCTATAAGCAAAGCAATTGAAAAATCACCAGTAGTTCTGGATCTGAAACAAAGCCTGCTTGGCTGATTAAAGGCTTTTTGTTTGGTTGGTTGGTTGGTTGGTTTTGTTTTTTTAGGACTACTACAACATCTCAAATATTGAAAGCCAATGTGCTAATCACTGTAGCATTGTCTTTAAAATGTATTATTTCTAAAAATTTTCTACCCTGTTGACACTCTACCTATGTAGTCAGAAAAACACAATAAGAGGGGCACCTGGGTGGCCCAGTCAGTTAAGCGCCCAGCTTTGGCTCAGGTCATGATCTCACGGTTTGTGGGTTCGAGCCCTGCATCAGGCTCTGTGCTGACAGCTAGCTCAGAGCCTGGAGCCTGTTTCAGATTCTGTATCTCCCACTCTCTCTGACCCTCCCCTGCTCATGCTGTCTCTCTCTCAGAAATAAATAAAACATTAAAAGAAATTTTTAAAAAGGAAAGAAAAACACAGTACGAAAATATTTTAAAATTTACATGTGGGTAATAGATTTTTATATTTTACAACTTAGATATCACCCAATCAATAACTTTAATATTTCTTATAAGCAATAAGACTTCTGCTAACAGTCTGGAGTCTGGTTGAATGGATCTCCTAAAGGAAATTTGCTCAAGGATATAAAACATAGGTTGTTTTACCTTTTCTCCATCTGCCTTTCCTACTGCTGTTACCACTTCACCATATTAACCCCTAACATAGCCATGGCTGATGCAAGGGAAATTTGTTATCATAGAGTTGAAGTTGATTTAAGAGAACATCAAGATATGTTTAGATTTCAGACATGACCATTATATTTGAGTGTCAAGACTGGCAGGTATGGAGAATATGAGTTGGGTGGACAGTATTCAACCTGGGACACATTGGCTCCCAGGTCTTCCTCCTGTGTCTCTAGGGCTGACCACTCAGTACCACTGCTTCCTGGGTAGTTCTTAGGTGTGTTTGCCAAAAGGTTACAGAAGCATCATCCCTGAGAAGACTGAGCTGGCTTGCTATAAATATAAAGTTGATCTTCCAGTGTTTCCATAAAAACCTTATATTTCATGATAGTTTGTTTTACTTTTTGAGTCCTGCTTCAGTGATCACAGTTTTGGGCATCACCGGAACGATGAGTGCCAACAGGTTAGACTGAGCCATGTTGCCTTTAGAACGTTTGGTATTTTCTGCTTAAGCACAGTGGGCAGGTGGCCCTAACACCTTCCAATCCTGGCCCTGGAAGCTCTGAGCCAACTCTATCAGGAGGTGAGCATAAATATTTTCATTGTACGGCTTTAACATGGACAATCTGCTTACTCTACTGCCAAAGGCAATGAAGGGTAAGAAAGCCTTTCTACTTAGACAAGTGGAGCCTTTTCCAAAACCTCCTGCAAGCAGTACCTCTTCAGTTCTCACTTCAGCATTCTGTTATAGAGTCAAATTCTTAACGATCCACAGCTGACTCTTCTTTCCAATTATTTTTCTGGTAAGATTTTGTAGAAATTCGCGTTGGTGAGAGAACTCTGGTGAATGTGATTTAATGGCTTGTGTTAGTGCTGGAGAAGCTTTTAGGTAATGCTTATTCTGTAAATTGGAAGATAAAGAAATTATTGCCTTCAGTTAACCTATAGATTTCAAAGACAGGAGGCAGAGATAAGAGCCACAGAGGTGAGATGTTCCTGCAAATGTAACTAGGAAAAATGCAATAGAAAAGGCCCAAAGACTTTTCTTTGATGCGATCCGAAGGAACATTGTTGAGTTCCTATTTCTGTATTTGTACCAGAGCCCTCATGGCACACAGAACTGTGTGGAGATGTCTGACACTGATTGACCTTGTGCCAGAATAGGATTCACAAACTCCCTGCATCAGAATCACATGAGGACAATGAAATATGCAGATTCCCAGAACCCAGCCCCAAACAACAGCATCAAAACTACTTGGGATGGTGTCCAAGAGTCTGCAGTTTAAAATGCTCCCCAGGTGAGTCTGATGTATCTTAAGATTTGGGAACCATGGATCTAAGCTGTTTTTCTTATAGATGTCTTCCTTTGTAGGCTATGTTATCATCTAGGTATCTGTCCAAGTGGCTGTTGTAATTATGACTTCTCACTTGAATTTATGTAACCTTATTAAGACTAATTAGAAAAAATTTGACCCATTTGGTTCAGGCTCAGAATAATGACACAGTCCTACAAAGACAGCCCTGCAATAAAAAATTAATTGAACATAACAGCAAGTCTTTACTTTCATTTCTGGAATGAATACAAGTTGGAAGAAATTTATGGATTTCTTCCCAACACCCACTTCCTCTCCCATGTGCTCCCACACATACACTGTACTGCTCAACCTTCAGCAATTCCCTGCTGCCCCACTCCTTCATGGCAGCCTGACCACGAGGATGCATCAGCCCTTCACCAATTTGTCTCCTAATTCTGTATTGCAAATCCTAAAACATTAGGTTGGTGATGTCTGGATCCTCCTTGAGGTTGAGGGTAGGGAGAAAATTTGGCACACACAAGGCCATTCTCAGGAATCTCAGAAAAGGAGAGTTTGAGAACACGTGTACAAAAATAATTTTAATTCCAACACTTTTATAGATGTATACACTATGTTCTTAGGATGGAGTGGATTACAGGGAAGAGTTAAACAGGGTCAAGATATGGAAACATGACAGTTTCTAAGTCTCTAATGGGAATTTGGCCCATTGATATGTTATAAATCCTTTCGTAGAGGGGGGTTAAAACAAGAGAGAGAAAAAATATATGGAGACTTCAAGTTCAAGCTTTCTTATGGTCTCTAAAAATGTAGAAAACTATAAGGCATACTAAAGTGTAAAAAGATTTAAAAATTATATAAGGCTTTTTTTTCCCTTCTACCATTGAAGAGATGAAACTTTAGAAGTCTAATGTAATAAAAAATAAGGAAAACAAAATCTATAGTGTTCTGTCCAAAAATCTACCAGTGGAATATATGGTCTCCAGGCAATGTCCACAACCTGCTGTAAATCACAGTTGCTTTCAGGATATGACCAATTTGAAATGCAGATAGAAAGTTGAATTATAAAACTTACGTGCACATGAAACAATTATTTTCTTACTTATTACTGAGTATAAAAGCTATAAAATCTACTTACATATATCATGTTCTAAGCACTGTGCCAGTCACTTTCTAAGAATCCTCTCTAATTCTAATAGCAACCTGACAGGTAGCCTTACTATTCCTACTTTCCAGAGGAGAAAACAGATTCTCAGAGAGGCTAAATAAACTCTTTAAATGACAAAGTTAGATTGTAGGTGGATCCAGGAATTTAAATTCAGTCAGCCTTCCTCTAAGGCCTTTGTTCTTTATATCAACCAATATTTATCACCCTCAAATGCATTACAACTGAATTCTCCTTCAGGAAGAGGTGTTCACACAAATGGGACACATTCAGTGCAGGGTGTTATTCTGGGTTCACGGTGTGAACTATTTGGTAATACAGTCGTATAAAGTAAGGTGACTCCGAATGTCTGAAAACGCAGCACCTTGGCACCTGTGCCCCCTTCATACCTGGTACTGCCCAAGGGGAAGCCAGCCTGTGTGGTCTGAGCTGCTTAGTCTCAGGGAGACTGTGAGCCCAGGGGGCTCTTGGGGCCACCATTTCCAGGCCTCCCTCACCTGGCTTGCATAGCGGGGCAAAAGGTGTTCACTCTCCTCTTGACTCTCCTGCTCCTTGACATCTTTGATGAACCTTTCTTGTATCCATTTTGGAATCCTTAGCCCCTCTCCCTGCACTAGGGTTTAACCTCCGCCACACTCATAGATAATGGCTCTCACTGCCCGTTTCCCCAGGAAATTTCCCCAGCTGCCCCTCCCGGATCTGAACCCTACATCCGGTCCTGCTTTAGCCAACCTTGTTCTATCTTCCCCTCTACCTTTGACTAAGACTCTGTAGCGTTCCTTTGCTGTGCATCTGGTCCAGCACTTCCCCCTCTTCGGGGCCTTACACCTGCCCTGCAGCCCTGACCAATCCCTCCATTCTCTCACTTTGTA